AGAATCTATCTGCCTTTGGTCTGCAGAGACTGGTATATAAACCTTTGGAATTAATCCCTCTGTGCATCCTCTCAATCAGAGCACTGGTTTTGTTTGCTTTGGTGTAGAATACTGTTTTACAGCACTCACTGTAGCTGTCAGAGGAGGCCTTCAATGTCATGAGCACTGGCACACTAGCTTGTCTATTTTCACATTTTTTAAGATAAAACAAGGTTCAAACCACACATTCTCTGTGAACTGCTAAAGACTGGGAAAAATTACTTTCTTTTCTCATGACCTGGATTGACAAGAAGCACACCTACAGGAGGCAAAAGATGAGTGAATCCCTTTTTTTTTTTTTTTTTTTTTGGTACACGGGCCTCTCACTGTTGTGGCCTCTCCCGTTGCAGAGCACAGGCTCCAGACGCGCAGGCTCAGTGGCCATGGCTCACGGGCCCAGCCGCTCCGCAGCATGTGGGATCTTCCCAGACTGGGGCACGAACCCGCGTCCCCTGTATCGGCAGGCGGACTCTCAACAGCTGCACCACCAGGGAAGCCCGAGTGAATCCCTTTTAAAGACCCAAGTAATGAAGCCCTCAGGGAACCGCCGTGTGTGGCAGAATTTACAGTGGTTTCTGGAGATGAACAGTGTGGCAGGAAGAGGTTCAGGACTGCCGGCTATTGAAATACAGTCTGCATTTATTTTATATCAGCCTATTTTGGGCCCCAGTGAGGAAGTTATTTTAATATCTTGCTCTGCTAGAAATATACATGGTAAGTGGTAGATGTCAGAAAAAGAGGGTAAAGTTACAGCACTCCATTCTCCTTGAGACTTACGGAGCTTATATAGTTGTTCTCTTTGAAATAAACACTGATGCATACAGAGCATAAATTGAAAAGGATGTTAGACGTAGTCCACACCAGTGATCCTCAGATGACTCGGAATTCAGGGCTAGAGTATTAAGGATCTGCATTTTTAATAGGCTACCCAGGTGATTCTGATACAGCCAGCCCAGCATTTGGGGATGCCTTTTCTGACCCAGTACTCTTACTTTACAGATAAGAAAATGAAGACCCACGTAAAAATTTAAAATTACTTGAGGTATTAACCTATTATGGGCTAGAAACCATATTTTCTGGCTCCCAGCATATCCATTTCCTAGGAGGTCACAGTGCCTCTTAGAGTGGTCATAGTTAAGAGCTTATGCTACCTGTTTCCCTCCGTAGCAGGGCCTACTTACCACCTGAGGCTTGGGGGACTACACTTTGAAATCTGAGGTCTCCTGACCTCCATTCAGGCTCTTTTCTCTTCAATACACTGATACCAAGGTTGAGGCACTCAATTACTCTAAACCGCTGCATCTGTGAGAAGGCTGGTGGATGATTCTTTTGTTCTATCCTTTTGTTGTTTGAGTTTCATGAATTCTTAGGATTTATTTTCTATAGATTCCCTTCTTCAATCTACTTCTAAATAGAAGTTGAGTAATGAAGTCAAAATATGGTACTGTTCAATACGAGTAAAAATTATTTTGTAAGGCACCAGGTAGTGGCTCCACAACAACTGCATACTGACTGAATCTAAACACCCAGCTTTCTTAGAACTAGGAGAGAGTAATAGGAACTTTGCTTTGTACGTTTCCTGAATAAATGATACATAACCAACACTTATTAAGAAAAGGCATTTATCCATTTATTCATTCATTCACCAGATATTGACCATCTACTATCTACAAGCACTGATCTAGACATGGAATACTGTTATGATCAGGAGAGAAAATGTCCATACTCTCATGGAGCTTAAGTTCTAGAGGGAGACTGTATGTGAAAACAAGACTATGCAACCCCCAGAGGAAGATTTTTATTTGTTCTCTTCCTTGCTGTGCAATACCTAACACATAGTAGGTGAAGCTGGGCTTCCCTGGTGGCGCAGTGGTTGAGAGTCCACCTGCCGATGCAGGGGACGCAGGTTCGTGCCGGGAAGATCCCACATGCCGCGGAGCGGCTGGGCCCGTGAGCCATGGCCCCTGAGCCCGTGTGTCTGGAGCCTGCGCGTCCGGAGCCTGTGCTCCGCAACGGGAAAGGCCACAACAGTGAGAGGCCCGCGTACTGCAAAAAAAAACAAACAAACATTTAAGAGCTGATGTTGAACAAATAGGGATTTACATACATGGCATTTCTTTGCCGTCATCCCCAGCAAAGTATATCTCCACTGGGTGAAAGAGGGTGGCCGAGCTAGTAATACAAAATAAAGTGAGAAAAATAAATAAAGTGAGCAGGTTTGAAAATAGCTTGTGATTCTGTAGAAATATTGAATCACTATATTGTACACCTGAAACTAAAATAATATTGTAAATCAACTAGACTTCGATTTTTTAAAAAAGGAAAATAGCTTGTAACTGATTAAGCACAAGTACTTCAAAATAATAGAATTCTCTAAGATGATTAGTTTATAAACAAGGTACGCGATGAAACTGCTCTAGATGTCCTTATCTGTAAACAGCATTATAGTTACTGTTACTACCTGAAAAAACTGAATTTTTTTTTTTTTCTGAGACAATTGGGGAAATGGCTCAATACGTCCAAAAGGAAAAGTCCACCTACATCATTGTAAATTATAGTTTCTCTGCACTTTACACTGCAACCTCAAGATATGAAAGGTACTCAACTTTCTAACTTTCAACAGATACCACTTTCAACACTTCTACCATGTCCTTTGTGTTAAACACTGTAAGGTGAGGATGTTGAAAGTGCAAGAATGAAGAGGAGGTGGTTAGAACAGAAACAAGACTGAAAGTAGTGAGGAAATGGCAGATGTGTTTCAGGAATGAGCTGTTTGACAGTAGGAATAATTCCACAGGGGTCCCAGTTTGTGCATCATTGGAAAAGTACTGTGCCTGAGCAACCCATGCTGATCAGCAAGAGACAGGGAAAGGACGAACAATTGAAAAGGTGGAAAACTGGTGACCACAGGATCAGCCTCCATGTCAGATATCCCTTAACCTAAAATGAATTTGAGAGACAGCTGAGAGTTTGAGAACTTAAAGACTAAGCATATTGTGAAATGCTGCTGCTGAAATTTTGGTCACAAGCCATGGATTATTCATGAGATCAAGGCCAGTTCATGTTTGCACAATATGAAAGTGAGTAGCTAGGTCATGAGTGCACTATGCAGACGTGCTCAGGGGCTCCACACTGCTCCTGCAGAAGTTATAGTGCGGGGAGAGAGATTTCAGTGTAGACAAAACTGTTTTATCTTGGGAAAAGATGTCCATAGACAAACAAACAAGTAAATATGAAATATCTGAGCAGAGAGAAGAATGAGCCTGGTTTTAAAATACCTGCAAGAACCCATTCTCATTCCTGTTGGTATATTGCATCTCAGGACTAATTCAAGCCCTTCTTAGTTCACTGAAACTCCTAGATCCCAAAAGAATCTTTGAAGAGCAGATTGAAAACCACAAATTCTTTTTTGTAGTATATTGGTTGCAGAGGCCTTTTGTTTCATTGAAAGTGTACAAGTCACAGTTTTAACTGAGTCATTTGTGATAGTGCCAACAGCTATACATGAGCAGTGTCTTATTAGAAGTTGCTTTTTATGAAAACAAGAAAAACAAAATGCAGGCATCTTTTGGATAAATTTTTAAAAGATTATAAAGAAGCGAGAAGAGTCAGGATTAATGTTATAAAGATCTCATTTTCCCTCATGAAAGTAATCTACCCACATTTATTATCTCTATAGTGTCATTTTGGACTCAGGAACAAAATGGTCTCAAGACCTAAACTATTCATAAGTTGAAGGGCTCTTGCTCTGTGCAGAGGAGGCAGGAGAAGTTTGTTCTGAAGTCCACAAAAAATGAGCTTACCTACCAGCAAATACTAACACATTGGTTGTCTCTATTATGTTCAGATTTGATACATACACTTTTGAGTATATGTTTTCATTTTAAGTTGTTCTTTAATAACTAAAAATAATTTAAAATAAAATTTGACCTCATATAGGATGTCTCCTACCTCCAGCTTTCTTCCCTCTCCTCATCCCTGGTGACAGTGGGATGGAGGTGAGTGTCTTTTGGCATGATACAACATATTAAAAATTATGCCAAAGGAAGTGGAAAACTTGACCCCATAGATTACTAATGGTAGAGAAGGAAATATGTCATTACAGTGGAACCATCTGATAGTCACCACTTTAACCAAGAGATCAAATTTATAGCCTTATTAAGAGTAAGACAGCCTGACATTTGGTGCCTCCCACATTGATGCAATATGAAGTATATAATATTCCATGTAAAATATTCTTGCCAAAAATGTTTAACCTAAACCTAAGCAAGCTTCTTCAGACCCAACTTTCAGTTTGTAAGCACACAGGGACAAGTTAAATGACACAATGAAGAAATAATATGACAAATCCAGAAAGAGACATTTTATACGACAGCTGCCCTGGTCTCCTCAAAAAGTAAATTATTTTAAAAGTTAATGATTTTTATTTTCATTTCTTAAAAAACGGGGAGGGGCTAGTATAGATTTAAAAGGCGAAACAGAGACATAAAAACCAAGTGCAATGTGTGAATCTTGATCAATTCTAGTTTGAGAAAAAAAGCTAAAATAAGCTATATTCTTGGGACAGTGGGAGAAATTTGAACATGGGTTGTATGTCAGATGATATGGCATTATTGTTAGTTTTTTTAATTTGCAAGTGATCATGTATGAGATGTCCTGTACTTATGAGATGTGTGCTGAAGCACAAAGGGGTGAGAGGTCATGGTGTCTGCCACTGTCAAACCTAGAGTGTATATGTGTGCTTGTGGTACTGTTCTTACAACTCTTCAATATGTTTGAGAGTTTTATTTGTATGTATACACATACATACATATATATATTTCACTATATACATATATAGAGACAGAGAAGGGGAGAGGTGAGGGGGCAGAGAGTTGACTTATTCTTTGAGAAGCAAAAGTTATAGAAATACTAAATGATTTTTAAAGAACTAATTAATTTCCCCCTCTTTTCTGTTTTAGGCTCAACGGAAAGGAAGATTAGACTATGCTAAGGTAGGTAGATTTTGTACCTTCTACACAGTTTTACACATTTCAGTTTGACGCTTGGTTTTTGTTTATATTTGAAAGGTCAAAAGAGAGTCATCACATTCAAAGCTGATTAGCAGGTAAAATAGGATTCATTTAATGATAAGCTTATTTACTGAATGCCTGTGTCATTCCAGACACTGTTAGGTGTTGGAAATACAAGAGTGAACCAGATCAACTCTTTCTTTCATGACATTTATAAGCTAGTGGGGGAGATGGGTAACTAATAAACAACTAAATGGATGCATAATATAACATCAAATGGTGGTAAGTGTTGTGAAGAAAAACTGGGTAAGCACCAACCATTGCTGGAAAGATGCCTTTGGACTATGGAAAACAGCTTTTAGCATCATCAGCTAATACCTGGGAAGCACCATTCAGGGCAGATTTGGATTTCTAAAGGCAGTATTTTTCATATTCACCTGTGGGGCTTTTGAAAACATACATGCCTGGGTTACCACAGCATATTACCCTCTTCCACCAACATCAAAATCCACTGGTGGGCAGAGCAGGGCGGGGGCAGGATGGAAGGGTTTGAAAAACGGCTCCATAGATAATTCTGACACACAGCCTTGTTCAGAAACTGCTGTGGGGCTTTCCTGGTGGCGCAGTGGTTGAGAGTCCACCTGCCGATGCAGGGGACACGGGTTCGTGCCCCGGTCCGGGAAGATCCCACATGCCGCGGAGCGGCTGGGCCCGTGAGCCATGGCCGCTGAGCCTGCGCGTCCGGAGCCGGTGCTCCGCAACAGGAGAGGCCACAATAGTAAGAGGCCCGCACAGCGCAAAAAAAAAAAAAAAAAAAAAAACTGCTGTGGGATTTCAGACTTCAGTGCTCCAGTGCAAGCCTATGAACACACTTGGGTCACATTCTGTTTTCTCCTGAGGAACAAATGGAATATTTGAGCAAGTGCATGGGATGCATACAGCTGCTTGGCCAAAGGAACATGCTAACCATCTGGTTTTCGCAACAGTCAAGAATAGCCAGAGCGTGAGCACACCTGCACGCCAGAGACAAGGAGGAAGAAGTGGGACCTGTAAGGGCTCTGCTTGCAGTGGGACAACCAAAACCCTCAGTGATCTCTCCAGGGCTGATCCAGAACCTTGTGCTCTCCTGACAGCCCCGAAGTGCACACCCCTGGCTCCATGCCTTTTCCTTGCCTGAAATGCAGGTCCTCCTTTTCTCTATCTCACAAACTTTTGCATTCTTCAAGAAAAATTAGATTAATAGGAGCACCTCTAAACTGAGGACTTCTATATCTGTCACCGTATCTTAGATGTCTACTTGAGCCTTATACCCAAATGGTCTCCCACAGGCAGAGAAGCTCAAAGTGTCTTGAACTGAACTCAGCATCTTCCCAACATCTCTGGACCCTTTTTTTAAACAGATTTTTATTTTTCAGAGCAGTTTTAAGTTCACAGCAAAACTGAGCAAAAAAGTATAGAGAGTTTCCATTACCCCCTGACCCACACAGGCACAGTCTTCCCCACTACCAGCATCCTGCTGCAGAGTGGTACCTTTGCTACAATCAGTGAACCTGCATTGATGCATCTTTATAACCCAAAGTCCATTGTTGACATGAGGGTCCAGTCTTAGTGTTTTATCTCTGGTCCTTGTTACTCATTCTGTCTCCTGATGTTGGCACTGTCATGCCACCAGTCAACCGTGTGAGAAACTTAGAAGTCACTCTCAAGTGCTCTTACCCCCTCACCCCTATGTTCCATGACCAAGTCACATCAGTTTTATATCCTACATTTTCTTGAATCCAGCCTTTCCTCTTGATATCTCTTTCATTGTTCATGTTGCGTCTCCTCATCTGAACCACTAGGAAGCCTACTGACTGGTCTCTATGCCTCTCTTTTGTCCCCACAGATCCATCGCCAGCCAGAATGTCTATCTAAACCACAAATCTGGCAGTTTCACATTCGAGCTTAAAACCTTCCTTGGCTCCATGTTGTCTATAAGGCAAATTCATAGCTTGCTAGAGTGGCATATAAAGCACTGTGGTCTCATCCCCTGGAGGGACTCTCTAGCTTTGTCCCCTCCTACCCTGTGCTCCAGCGGCACCAAATTACATAAAACACACTGTTTCTATTCTCCGTGCCTTGACCCATGCTGTCCCCTCTGCTTGGAATGCAGCAGTGTCCCCCTTAATCTGGCTACCCCTGCCTCTTCTGTAAGGCTTAATGTAGGATCATCTCCAAGAGGAAGTCCTTCCTGGTTCCCTAGGCTGGATGAGGTGCTCCATTCTCTAACACACTGTGCATCTCTCAGTCATTGCACTTAACTCTGTTATTTTATAATGACCATTTATGAGACAGATCATAGACTGTGAGCTCTTTGAGGGCAGAGACAGTATCTTTTTTTTTTTTTTGCGGTACGCGGGCCTCTCACTGCTGTGGCCTCTCCCGTTGCTGAGCACAGGCTCCGGATGCGCAGGCTCAGCGGCCATGGCTCACGGGCCCAGCCGCTCCGCAGCATGCGGGATCCTCCCAGACCAGGGCACGAACCCGCGTCCCCTGCATCGGCAGGCGGACTCCCAACCACTGCGCCACCAGGGAAGCCCCCCAGAGACAGTATCTTATTTGTATGCTTGGTGCCCAACACAGTGCTTGGCACTTGGTAAATGGTGAGTGAGTGAGTGAGGCCATAAGAAAATAGAAGACCCATGAAGTTAGTTACAGGAGATATTCTGGTATAGGGTTTTTTATTTCAGTCAAAGAGGAAAGGAAAGCTTTTGACACAAGTTGCAGGTATCAACAGGGATAAGAAGATTGCTTGGGAAGGTTGTAATTAAACTAGCTTGGAGATAAGTGCTGGGATTTCACTGGGATAGTAAAGGAAATAACTTAAAAACGAAAAAGTAAGGGAAATGACATCATGATTTGGCAATAGAGTGATTATTTATCATTGATGCTTATTTATGACTCAGAGAACTCCTTTAGGATTTCTTATTGCAGAAGCACCTGATAGTGGAAGAGACTGGAAGAAAAGAAAAGAATATGGGGCACAGATAGAACACCCTGAACCGAGCAATGGCTCTGTTACCAACTCACCGCAAAATCTGTTATCAGCCACTTAACCTTTTAGGTCTTCCCTCAGTTTCCTTAGTATAAAAGGAGCAGTTTAGAATAGTGCTGTTCTACTCTTTAGGCCCAAATTTGAGAGGAGACGTTCTTTTTTGGGGGAGAGGGGACATTCTTATCTTGTGTACTGCTGCGGTCCAGATTAATTCCTTCATCCACTTCATATGCCTAAGCACTGTGGATCTGATATTTAATATGGGCGAGGCGCTGCGCTGGGGCTGACTACCGCCACAACCAGGACTGACTCAGACCTTCCTATTGAAAGTCCACATTTTCTCTGTTTTTTCTCTTTAACATTTATCATAATCTAATATTATCATTTTTATTTAGTTGCTTGTTTTTTCTGTCTTCTTCCACTAAAATGTAAGAGCCCTGAAGGCAGGGCCTTCAATGGCCTTGTCCATGGTTGCATCGTCTGTACCCAGCACAAGCTTATATATAGGGGTGTGTGACAAATGCGTATGGATGAGTGCTGCATTAGTGCGATGCTAGGAGAAGTGCAGGAAGCTAAGAGGTCTGGAATTGTGTTTGTAGATTCAAATTAGCCATTTAAAGAGTATATTGACTATATAACACAGTCCATCCCTATGTTCAGTAGCCCTAAGGTTGCCTTCCCAAGTGCCCAGTGAGAATATTTCTCATGACAATAAACAGAAACCCACCCTGCTAGGGTATGTGGTGCAATGCTGATATTTAAGGGATCTAGGTGATTAACCCAGACCTATCATCCATACATAGACCCAAATCCAAGTACCATGGGTAAAAACAATTATATCCGTCCCTACCAAGTGTCGGGGAGACATCTGCAGGGTCCAGCTCACAGTATTGTCCCTTACGTAGCATATCATGGGTCCATGATATGGTCCTGGTGCTCATGCTGACTGATGCAGGCATCATGCTAGGCAGCTTAGGACTCCCCTGGTGGGTTTATCTGTAAAACTACTTTTTTTTTTTTTTTTAAGTTTTGGCTGCGCCAGGTCTTAGTTGCGGCACACAGGATCTTTGTTGCAGCTTGTGGGATCTTTAGTTGCAGCATGTGGGATCTTTAGTTGCGACATGTGAACTCTTAGTTGCAGCTTACATGTGGGATCTAGTTCCCCGACCAGGGATTGAACCCGGGCCCCCTGCATTGGGAGCGTGGAATCTTACCCACTGGACCACCAGGGATGTCCCTCTGTGAAACTACATTTGAAAAACTCAATGGCCATTTCTGGAGAGTGTCATGAAATTTATTTATTGCTGGAGATTTCTTTATCTCCAAGTGGTGAGTGTTTTCTCAAAAGCCAAATTTTATCTGAAAAATCAGATTTTAAGAACCATAGAAAATTATTTTGGCCGTGTGCTCTATGGCTTTGTATACCAGCTCTCCAATTTTGTCAGTCTCAGAATGGCAAGGAAGCAGGGGAGAGGGCAGAGGTGACGATCAAAATCAGTCTCAGCTAGATCTCGAGAGTGCCTGTCACATTCAGCAAAACAGTGGTCTGTCCTCAAACACTCAGAAAAGAAATTGAATTACTTCTTAATTGAGTTCCTGTGGCGATGAAGCCTGGATGTGAATGCGTTACACTGCTGCACTGCCTTTATCATCTAAAGATATCAAAGCACTCAGCAACTATTCATTCATTAAGTCTCTCCCGCCTCTGGAAGGTGGTTAACACCAGCACAGGAGCACTCTACCTACTCCTGAAGCTCATCCACCCAGGGCTGGGCAGGAATGGAAGCTGTTTAACTGTAAGGCAATTCTACCCAGCTTCTAAAATGAAAAAAACAAGAAGTATCTTACTTACCTAGTTAAAACTGCAGAAGTTTTACTGGACAGAATGTAATTACCAGAAGTGAATTGTGACCAAAAAACTGGTGCCCACAGTTTTGCTCATATGCGC